AGCACAGTTTGAGATGGATGTCAAAGATTAAGGAGTAGAGGAATCAGGCAATTTGACCTAGCAGGAATTTCTATAGGCACAGAATCTGGGCTTGCAGCATCATGATGCTGGAAGACTGTGCTGAATATCATTTGTGGAACTGAAGTCCTTTTGATGCCCTTACATCTACACTAATTCTGGTCCTGGGTGATGGAGATGTGTTGGGGTCTGCCACATTCTAGTACACATAAATCCACAGGTGTATATTCAGAGCTTTGTAAATAGTACAGGGAAGAAAGAATGTGCTGATGATACTTTAAAAAAAAAAAAAAGACCAAAGTCCAACTAGCAAATAACTGAAGTAGCAAAGTAAGAGTGATCAGTGGAAGGCAGGATTCTATTAACTTAGTTTTCAGAGTAAGACTGAGAAATGGGGTAAATGTAATTTTTTTTTTTTTTTTACCATTTCCAAATCAAAGTTTAAGAGATTTGCTGGATCTATTCTATCATCATGGAATAGATGAAACAGACCACTGGGATCAGTGTTATGTCCTGAATTTTGAGTTTGACTCAAAAGATAGTGAGAAGTCCTTGACCTCATTTAAGTAGAGATTAAGAATTGCAAGTTTTACTTCAAAGTCTTTGAAATTGGTTAAAGCTTTCCCCTGAAGGCTTAGCTTTTATACATTATTTAAACTTTAAATCTACTATATCCATGAGCCTTTCCTAAGCAAAGAGCACATAAAGTGCATGTTTCACCCTAAGGCTATAAATCCAAAATCAGTGGATGTCTTTAGAAGTAACACAACTTCATATGGCCAATCCATAGGAAATCATTCATAATATAAGTTATTTTAAAAAATTACAGTTGTGCACAACTGCAGACAAGTGACATGCCTGTGGTTCTTCCTGCATAACATAGCTTTCCTTCACCCCCTCCTCTTCCATTGCACCTCAAATTACACCCTTTGGAAAAAAATCAGTTTTAACGGTTCTGTGGTACACATCAATGCTTTTCTCTATGCTCAAACAAATCTGTTTCTCTTTCTCTCTCACAAACAACTCTATGTCCCTTTTTCTATTTTTTACAAAAATAGTATACTCTGTGCATTACTTTGAAATCTGATTGAATAAATTGTTGACTAAAAAAATGAAAGCCACTTGTTTCCATTTAATGGAACTTAATTAAACTTGTTTAATTTAATTTTGTCAAATATTAAGAATGAAACCCTTTTTTTTTTGCACTTGACAATTTTATCAAAGACAATTACATATACTGACCTTAAGGTCAATGCATATTAATTTAACTCATTCTTTTTAATGGCAGTATAATATTTCGTAACATATATGAATCACACACTAATGATTTTCCTATGAATGGACTTACTGTTTCCAGCTCTTTCCTCTACAAATGATGTTGCAGTCAATATCCTTGAACATATATCTTTATATACACTTTTATTTATAAATACTGAAAAACAAAAGGATTATAGTTCAAAAATTTTAAGGAGCACCAACTTTAAAGCTGCTTTCCATAGAAAAGGAGAAACTGGGGTATTATTAGTGCTCATCGATTTTAACCTTTAGCTCATCACTTAACTGTTTACCAAGAACTCTGAAAGGCACTAGGGGGGAACACAGAGACAAACAGAACAAGTTTCCTGCTAAGAGATCACACGCTCTCTCATTGTCACTATTTCCTACAGAAAAAGATGGCTCAGAGAGGCTCCTCCTACTAATGCATATGGTAACATAGATATTCCTTCTCTCTCTCCACTTTGTTAAACTTGCTCAGTAACTAACCTTCTTCTATTTCTCTGCTTTCACCTCTTCACCTTAGCACTTATAAAAGGTAGATCAAGGGGCACCTGGGTGGCTCAGTTGGTTAAGCATCTGATTTCGGCTCAGGTCATGATCTCGCTGGGTTTGTGAGTTCGAGCCCCACATCGGGGCTCTGTGCTAACAGCTCAGAGCCTGGAGCCTCCATCAGATTCTGTGTCTCCTCCTCTCTCTGCCCCTCCCATGCTCATGCTCTGTCTCTTTCTGTCTCTCAATAATAAATAAACGTTAAAAAAGATTTTCAAAAAGGTAGATCAACTAACTTCTCTGACTTTTTAAGCTTTGTTTTGGTTTGTCCCCTTGTTTTCTTTTTTTCTTGTTTGTTTTTGTCCCTTATTCAGGCTCTCTTCCACAAAGAGAATGTAGTAACTGATCTGCAAGCATAAGCTATTCCACCTTATAGCCTTAGAGGCCTAAAAGAGAGGAAAGACTATAAATATTTTAGGTGTAATAAATGTTCTACTAATCCTTTCCCTCTCCCTTTCTCTTTCCTTCTCCCTCCCTCCCTCCCTCTCTCTCTCTCTCTCTCTCTCACCACGCACATCAAGAAAAAAACAACTATAATGCAGTGTGATAAATTCTCATGAATAAAATGTAATGGAAGCCCAAAGAATGGGTTGAATCATTCTGTTTGGGGTAGAGGAAAGGAAAAGGAGGCAATATAAGACAACTTCCTGAAGGTAATATTTAAACTGAGGTTAAAAGACACACATTTTTTTCCAGGCTTGGGGTGTGAGGACGAAGGGAAACTTAAAGTGCTTTTGAGTTTTGGAAGAAACCTGGATAGCTTAGGATAGTGGTCCTCCAGCTTAAAAGTGCATAGGAATTATCTAGGGAGCTTGTTTAAAATGCAGATTCCTGGGCACCCATCTTCCCAATATTGTGAACTGATCCAGAAATCTGCATTTTAAACAGATTCATCCAGGTTTACTGTACTTGGAAACATACTGGTAGAGGCTGTGTGGTGAGTAGTGACATGGAATGATGCTGTCACAGGACTGAAAAGAATACAGATTAATGTGTCAGGTAAATGACAATGTGAGACAATCAGAGATACCAGAAAATTGATGTCAACTCTTTGAATTTTGTTTTGAGACAATGGCTTGGCAATGGAGTTCTGATTTTGATCAAAAACCCCTGCTTTTCCACAGGGAATGTTTATTGAATGTCTGATTGAGGGCAGAATTCTGAGAAAGCGACCGGAAGCCTCCCAGACCATGAGCCCCGCTGGCTTTGTTTAACCTGGCTGTAAGGGCCACTGTTTTTATAATGGCCATCCAGAACCGCTAGTTCAAGCTTTCCAAATGCTGTCTTGATGTATGTCAAACTGATAACATTCCTGCATTTTAATGCAGGTCCACAAACAAGGCAAACGTGATTACCCTGTAGATCATCCGTGTAAACGCACCACAGTTGTGTAGCCAAAGCCACACGCTAGCCCTTGGAGCTAAGATCAGGGAGGACGGCGCACGCTCTTACATAATTTCCCAGCTAGTCAGTGGTAGGGCCTGTGATTAATGCTACATGACGGGCTTTGAACTTTCTGTCCAGATAGGTCCGCTTGCCTCTCAGAGCTCCTAGCAAGAGAGAATGTGCGACCTGCAGATTTCACTCTGAATAACCATCATCCCAGCCAACACCACCAACACTGCTCTGTGGCCCCGTGAGCAGCTGTTTCTGTGCCTCCCTGCTTGTCAACAGACAGGTTGCCAGAGGACTGGCAAAATGTTTTTTTAATAGGGGTACAAAGCCAAAGAGTAACAAAACTTCGGAGAGCCCAGTGGCTGAGGAAAGCTATACCAAGAAGGCTGGGGGCCTCGGGGGGGGGGGGGGGGGGGGGGGTAGGCTGTCCTGGGAAAAATCATTAGAGCCCTCGAGGAGTGGCCGGGGTAGAGAAATTATAACGTGGAAGGAAGAACTCCTGCTGTCTCCACCAACAGCATTCACAGCCTGGAAGCGCCTCGTTGGAGCTCCCGCAGGGCGGCTGACCACAGGCTTCCAGCATCCCAGTCCGGGCGCAGAGCTGCCTCAGTGCTGAACAACTTTCGAGCTCCGCCAAGTGGAGGCCCAGCCTTCAGAGAGTCCCTCCTCTCCAGCCTTCACCACCCCCCCCCCCGACCCCGCGCAGAAGTGCAGGTGAGGCCCGGAGCCTCACCTCCACCGGCTCCCCTTCCCACCTCTCCATCTCCCGGGGGCTCCCGACAGCAGCCCCTGCGCGCGTGCGAGCGGGAGGCGAGAGGACACCTCGGGGTGCCTGCAAATGCCCGTCCACATTCCCGCGGCCAAGCTGGGTCCCTCCAGCCGGTCCCCGCCAGCCCGGAACGGCACCTGCGGAGTGGGGAGGTCTTTGGAGCGAGGGCCGAACCCCGGGCTCGCAGCGGAAGCCAGCGGAAGGCGCCCCTGCGGACCTCGCCTCACCTGACGGCTCGCCGCCCGACCCCCCTCCGCGCACACAGCCCGCACTCACCAGCTCCAGCGCTCGCAGGAAGGCGAGGGGCTCCTTCAGCGCCCGGAACGTGCCCGCGGAGGCCAGCTTTGGACGGGCCAGACGAGAGAGAGAAAGAGAGAGCGTGAGGAAGGGGCTGGGGCGCCTCTCCGGACCGCGGGGCGCCCCCCCACCTCCGCAACCCAGGTCCGCCCTACCTGACTCACGGGGTCCATCGTCTCCTCCCTTTCAGATGAAGTTCGGGGGCCGCCGCCGCGCGGTCCTCGGGGCCAGGAGCCCCGCGTCGGGAAG